TTTTTATTTTATTGTTATTCAATTTTACTGTGGAATAAAATATGGAAGCACCGTTTATTCCATTCCTCTTTCCTGGATAGAGTGTTTGGAAAGCTCTCACTGTCCTAAAGGAGAAGACAGAGAGGAAAACAGAGTGAAAGAGAGAGAGAGGGAGAATGCAATAGAGAAAGACGGAGAGCAGGAATTTGGAGGAAATGGATGATGAATGTTTATTAATCTTGTGGGCCTCCCATCACACTAAAAATAACCCTCATGCATTTATCCAGCAAGGGCAATGTTATTGCACATCTTCATGCCCAAGTGTCTGAGGCAGTGCATGGGGAGAAGCATCTCGAAGATTTAGTAAGCAACTATACGTAATAAAGGTAAAATTATTCATAATTACTGCAAGGGACTGGCTCTGTTCCAAAACCAAGTGAACTTCCTCGCTGTCTACAGCCTACATAGGCACCTGCCTTCTGAGACAGCATGCTAACTGAAATGGAAGCTCATAAGTGACTGAATTATCTAAACAGACAGCAAATTCATGGGTCATACAAACAGCACTCCTTAAAGCAACTGAATGTAGTTTTGTCTACAGTTAAGTGAGCGGAGTTCACTGTCGTAATTACAGTGGATAGCTGTACATATGCATTTGTTTTTACCGTAAAAATGCGCCCTTTTAACAGAATTTCGTACCCGCTCACCAAACTCACATACTCCCAGAACAGACGTTTGGGGAAACAGTTATTCGCCTTATTAGAAGTCAGTTTACCATCAGACTGATTTTAAAACTGGTATTACAAGGTTAAAAAATAAATAAATAAATACCGTTGCTTTAAGTCAAACACACATATATGGTATGAGGAGACAGAACATTCGTAAAAAAATGCATGGGAGAAATTGTAAGGCTCATTATGGTGTGTGATGGAATGGAAGCCCCGCCTTCAATTTGAATGAGCCAATCACTTTGGCAGTTTGCACATTCTAGAATCTACATGCACATTACCGGACCAAACTGAAATGTAAAATTTTTATTTAGTTTTATTTTATTTGATTATTTTATTGTATTTTATTATATTCTATTATTTATTTTTGAGCTAAAGTAGTTTAAATATAAAAAAAATAAAAAAATGAGAAAAAAAAGAAAATGAAAAGAAAAGGTATGGCAAAGAATAATCAAATAAATTTAAATGTGTTGTACATTTCAATAGCATCAACAACAAATTAACTATAAAATATGACACTGTTACTCGCTACTCTGAAATGATGATACACTATTGAAACGTAACCTTGGAAAACAGTTTTGGAGGTTCTGGTCTTTCCTGGTTCAAGTACATAAAAGATTTTCTTGTTAGTTTCATTCTTGTGTTAGAGTTTAGCACAAATATAGCACTCACAAATTATGTAAAATAGACTACTTTTTAGATTTACTATTCTTAGCCATACTTTTTGCATAAAAAAAAATAAGTATATTTATAAATCAACATTTCTCATGCTTCATCCACCTTCTTGGATAGATTGTCACAATGCATTTTGGCATTGCTTCCCTTGTGAAACATACATTCTGCTTTAGAATCTGGCCGAAAGACATTTTTTCAGAAGGCAGCACAGTCATCCTGCCTACCTTTTGGAACAGCAGGGGTGCACTTATGATGCCTTAAATAGTCAGCTTACTAGACTTTGGAACAGAGCCATTAATTCACAAGATTGCAAGCCTGCCTTTTTTTTTAAAAACACTCTTTCTTTGTTGTCGTTCTAATGTGGCCAGAGACTGAGAGCGGTCTGAAGTAGATCGGGCCACTCTGTGCCTGCTCTTTTGGTTCTGGTCTGGTTTGGTGGCAGATGGCGGTTGGGGGTTGTGACGTGAGAAATCTGCCCGAGCTCCAGCTCTCACGTTAACCCCCCGTGGCCATATGCCTGCCCTCCTGTTACCCGTTCCCTGCTCATCGGCCCTGTACCGAGCTCCGAGCTCTCTCTCACACAGGCAGAGATACACTCTTTGTCTAGAAAGCATGAGTGCACTGTGAGAGACTAATTCGATTAATAGCCTGTTAAAAGGCACTGGATGATAATTCCACACTGGTGGCCTCAACTGATCATTTTGTGTGAATGGACATGCGTGACACAGCATGTTAAAAAAAAAAACGGTTGTAAAAAATGTTGAATAAACAGTCCATCTAGCACCATCAAGACCAATATTAAAAAAATTGCACAGTTGTAACACCAGAACAGATATATTGACTCCTGAAACTTTTTTTTCCCCCAATAATTTTACACATCTGCCACAATAATGAACTCCTTATGTCTTCATATCTTCATTTTGGAGCTTTTTATATCATACAGTTAACGTGACCGACTGATCTATTACGTGACTTTTTTTAGCACCAAGTAATTTAGTTTTTTGTGTAAATATTTTTGATCCACTTTGTGACAGTTTAGACCCCTATACCACATGGATCTAAGGTATGGGATTAGTTTTTTTTTTAAAGAAATTAATATTTTTATTCAGCAAGAATGTATTAAATTGTTAAAAAATGAGAGTAAAGACATTTATAATTTGTTTTTTTTTTAAGTAAATAAGAAATGATAATAAGAAATGTTTCTTAAGCACCAAAACAGCATATAAGAATGATTTCTGAAGGATCATGTGACACTGAAGACTGGAGTAATGACTGCTAAAATTCAGCTTTGCATCACAGAAATAAATGACATTTTAAATTATATTAAAATAAAAAAATCGTTATTTTAAATTGCAATAATATTTCACAATATTTTTTGAATTTTTGATCAAATAAATGCAGTCTGGGTGAGCATTTAAAACATTTTTAAAAAATCTTACTGACCTCACTGAACTTGTGATTGGTAGTGTATGTGCTGTAGACAGCCTCTGTTATGATTTTCTTACTTCTTCGAGAAATCTGTTAAATAATGAATAAACAATGATATGTAAATGTGGTCAGTCATTCAGTTATTTTCACCCAAAAATCAAAATTCTGTCAACATTTACTCACCCCCATGCTGTTCCAATCCTTTAAAACTTTTTCAACTGTTCATTGGTTCAGACGTCAAAACCATGGCTTTCTATAAATATCCTGATGGAAGGAAGTTTAGCATTGCATTAGGGTATAAAAGAGTACATACTACAAAGTCTTTTATTTTCCATGATATGTCCCCCTTTATATAAACCAGTTTGTATAATTACGAAAATGCAACTGATCTCAAAGAACACGAATCCCTGTGTGAATCTCTCACTGAATTATTACAGACAGACTGAGACATAAATTATTTTCAGTCACGACACTCAGACACAACACTAAATAAAACATCTATCGATAATACGAGCCATTTTTCATTAGCAAACCATATAAATACAATAAACCCATGGAATTAGAGAACAGTGTCTTCAGCCATGCTTTAATTATGAAACACTGGGGAGGGACGCAACCTTAATAAAACATCAGCATGCCTGAGAGCAGGAAGTATCAGCCTGCTGCGGTGCTCACTGTGGGCTGCCCACGCTGAATCCCAAAGCTCCCATCAGCACCGGCACAGTGTAAGCTGACATGGTCATTCCTCTTCCAGAGGGAAGACACCTGCTCCTACTGAGACAGCCAGACAACCGCAAACAAGCTAACATGCATGAGACGCCGAATGCCACGTTCCATATTTGAAGTCCAGTACTCTGAACACTGGCATAGACAGAGATGATTAGCATTGTGCTGGCATTGAGGAGCGCGTCTGACTTTAAGTAGGGTAAGGTGTTTTTTTGTTGAGTTTGTGCACACGTGAGTTCATAAACAAGTTAGTATGTGCAAACATTCAACAAAAGTACTATGGTAAAACAGTGGTGTTTGAATGCTACCATGACAACATGACCTCAGTATTCAAACCTCACGTCTGATTTTAGCATGTGTACATTTTTGTGTGTCTGGGTAGACATAAAATGTCATATTAACATTTGAAATGTAAATCATTTTACATATGAACAGCTTTAGAGATGTTACGAATACTCACAGTGCATTACATTCATCTTTTAAATAATTACTAATCAAGGTTAATGCTCCTTTACTTATGGCCAATAATAAATAAAACAATAATAATATTAAAATAAAAATAGAGTGCATAGAATATAAATTATGTTAATATATAATATAGGCCAATAACACACACACACACACATATATATATATAAAATTTTAATCAAATGCAAATTAAAATAAATTGCTTTAATTAATGTATTTCTGATATTATTAAAACTAAATTATATAAAAAGTAATATACAAATGTATAAAAATAAATATTAACATAATAACATATGTTACCTGATATGTTAACATAATGGCTGATATTAAAAAACTATACTGAGTACTGAGAGTATATATATATATATATATATATATATACACACACACATATATATACACACACACACACACAGAGATGTGTGAGTGTGTATTTTACAAATATAATAACATCAAATACATAACACACTAAAAAACAATAGATTAAAGTGTTAAATAACTAATTAATGTTAAATTAATATTAAAATTAATATCAAAATTGTGTTCTTGAAGATTGACCTCTACATTGGCAAAGGTAATATGCAAATGCATGCACAATTAAATATCCAGTTTTGATTTAAACCAATAAATCTGTGTATAAAAATGTGCGCAAACTGTACGTATGAAAATCTACGAATACAAATGAGATCACCTTGACCATGATGGGCATACCACATTTTTGTTAATGTTTGCAGTATAAGCACATAAATTGATGAGTTTTTATGACTGACTGACGTCATGTGTAAATTCATACCTCATCAAAATCGTGCTCATTTGAGTTCTTCTTTAGTGCTTGTCTCCTTTAGTGCTGTGGGCTGCAGTAAAGTGTCTTTAGCGGTGCCCTTTATTTGTGGTCAGCGAATAGCTTAGATCAGGCTGATTTAGGCTCTGATGGGCAATACTGTCGTGGTATCTGATCCCTGCACTGGCGAGCTCATCCTTCTGTCTGCTGACTAGACACGGCCACCTCTAGTGACACATCGACTTCTCCTCCTGCCCCTACAGGCGGCTCAGCGATCCCTGAATCCCTCACCAATACACCAGGTGACACAGGCAGACATCATTAGCATCTTAAAGCAGTTCAGCTGGTGGATACAGACTTGATTTATGAAACCCTGTTTAATGGACATGCTTTTAGCTCCCTGTTTTGCATGAAAGTCAACATGAAATGCCATTCGCAATGCATTTTACTTACATAATATGATGCAATTCTCAAGGAAACAGGATATTCAGTGGGATGAGAATGTAGGATGAAACTTGGTTGGGAATTAATTGGATTGTGAAAAGTGGACCAGACAAACATTTGAATTACTCGCAATAAGATCAGTATCTTGTACTGGGTAAAGTAAAGAGGTGATGCAATTCTGAAGGAAACAGGATATTCAGTGGGATCAAAATGCAGGATGAAACTTGGTCGGGAATTAATTGGATTGTGAAAAGTGGACCAAACAAACATCTGAATACTCGCAATAATATCAGCATCTTGTACTGGGAAAGTAAATAGGGCTGATTTTCATTTCATGTTGACTTTAAAGTTCCTTTTCATTGCTGTTTAGTAGTAGATGCACTGTAGAGTGTCTTTAAAGATCAAGCATTGCTTGGCTGATGGTTTTAGATTTGTGGTTGAATTTATACTAGTCTTGAAAAAACATCATAAATGTATGTGTCACAAAGCAAGGCCAGACACAACAGGTAAGTGCAAAACAGGATGGTTTATTGACTGGGTAAGTGGATGACTGGAATAGGTGAGTTAAAGGCAGGTGAATGTCAACACAGTGAATGGTTCCAGGGTGCTTATCTGAGTTCTGATGGAGAGGATCGTATGCCGGTTACGTTGGAGATCGTGGAGCCGTTTCCACGGAGTCGTTGGAGGATCGTGGGAGGAACAGCAGGTAATTCGTTCTAGGAGGTTTTGGCAGAGAGAGTCCAGAGTAGTTCGTAGGAGTGAACGGTAGACCGGACAGTGAGTGGCTGTGCTGTGTGTGTATTTGTAGTGTGGCTTGATTGGTGACAGCAGGTGCGGGTGATCAGAACTCAGGTGACTGTGATCGGGTAATTATCCTGGATGGTGACTGAAGTGACTGTGATGACTCCCTGACAGTATGATAATAAAATCAGAGATAGCATCTAAAAACAACAATCATTTTCATCAGATATTTACTGCAATACATAAAAACTAGAAAATAGGTCTGAGTGATTAAACTTCTATATTATTCAACTAGATGTACTCACTTGTCATTTTTACAGACTTTGTATTCTTTTGCATAAGTACAAGTATGTTTTCCAAAGCTAAAATTAAAAATAGAAGTGTTAACAGTAGGAGGTAGCTGGCCCTCTTTACTTACTCTCTCGGCTCTCGACTCAGCGCTGTAATTTTACTGTCCCAAGTGCTACTTGTGACGAGCTTTCTGCCCACAATGCCAGCTGCTACCATCTCGAGCCAGACAGACACCTCGTCTTTAACTACGGTGCCATCTCCGTCTAGTCCAACACTCACAGTCGTACCCACTGCACCTGACCAGCCAGGTAAGAGACCTTCCTGTAAATGTCACAATCACAATTTGTTGACACGTTTGCACTCTCAATGTCTCCCAGTATTAAAGTTTTGATATTTAAGTAAAGTAAATCCATCAGAACTCTGTTCGCAAAGACATTTCAACCTTGAAATAAGCTGTAATATATGCAAGCATGTGTCCATCTATTTAGGTTAGACATTCTTCATTTATTCGGTCTCACTTGTGTTAATAATTGAGAGGTGAAATATTCAACAGGGAGCATGTTTAAAGTCATACATTGAGTTTTGTTCTTTTGCCCTCCTGGTTGTGAGAATGCATACATTACAGTTATTCTATTAGAAGGCGCTTTGAATCTTTACTAGCTTTTAAAAGAGCCTAGAACATTTGAATTTGTATGTCTTTATTTTATACTATACTGTAGGCCCAGGGTTTACTTCATGGGTAGGATGATTAAAATCTGGCACCAGGTAAAACAGACAAACAGCAAAAATTTTTGTTAACTGTAAAAAAAAATTCAGCAAAATTTCTCAATTTCATTTTGTTTTACTTCAAGTAATACATTTAACATACATGTAAAAAGTACTAAAGTAACTAAAATGTCGAACTAAAATAAAAAAAAAATACAACTTTATTGAAATATTTAAGATAAAATTCAACAGTGTTCACTAAACATTCTAAGATATTCTCTAAACCTGCATATCATTCACTAAGCAATAGCAAGTAAATGTAAAACTGCACCGTAAAAATTGTGCACAAATATTATAGTGAATCAGGTACAAAAACAACACAGACAGCACAGGCAAGTAAACAAGGCCAATAGCAAGTGAAATACTTCTTAGTAAAATCCCTCCAGTTTCTTTGCTCTCTCGTACCGCACAGGGGACCTTGATGAAAGTAGTGCATGCAGGGAATCACGCTCCACTGTAATTCCACTCATGATTGATGGCCGTAATGGTGCTCTATATTCTGATCTAAGGTATAGCAGGGTGTGGAGATTAAATATGATTACTGCTGTGCTAAATCACTCATTAATATATATGGGCCAAGGTGCCAAATAACATACCATGTGGCGGCTCCTTAAACTATGTCTTCTTGAATCAAGCATTGAAGTCAGCAGGGCAGGTGGAGGCTTGCTGACTTGTAGTGTTTTGATGATGATGCCGTACTGATGCTTGACAAGCTGTTACCAATTTAAAAAGGCTTTTAGCTGTAAAAATAAATAAATAAAGTAATAAATAAATGTCAGTGAAATCTTTCAGACTTAAAAAAATGTTCAGGATTCAATAAATATAAAGCAAAAGTTTAGCATCTGTGATAAGTAATTCTGACTTTTTCCATTCAGTTTTATCCTTGACACAATTTACAACCACCTAGAATAAAAATACACAAGGCCAAGAAATACATAAAAATACACACAATTTTAAAAGCCAGAACATTCAGTAACTAAAAAATGTATACATTAGACAACTTTACAGCTCAAATAATACAGTGGGGGAAATATTTATTTGATCCCCTGCTGATTTTGTAAGTTTGCCCACTTACAAAGAAATGAAGGGTCTGTAATTTTTATGGTAGGTTTATTTTAACGGATAGAGACAGAATATCAACCAAAAAATCCAGAAAAAACACATTATATAAAGGTTAGAAATTGATTTGCATTTCAGTGAGTGAAATAAGTATTTGATCCCCAAGCAAAACATGACTTACTACTTGGTGCAGAAACCCTTGTTGGCAAGAACAGAGGTAAGACGTGTCTTGTAGTTGGTCACCAGGTTTACACACATCTCAGGAGGGATTTTGATCCACTCCTCTTTACAGAGCCTCTCTAAATCCTAAAGGTTTCTTGGTTGTCGTTTGGCAACTTGAAGTTTCAGCTCCCTCCACAGATTTTCTATAGGATTATGGTCTGGAGACTGGCTAGGCCACTCCATGACCTTAATGTGCTTCTTCTTGAGCCACTCCTTTGTTGCCTTGGCAGTATGTTGGGTCATTGTCATGCTGGAAGACCCATCCATGACCCATCTTCAGTGTTCTGGCTGAGAGGAGGAGGTTCTTGTCCAAGGGAAATGGAAGAAATACAAAATAACCATCAATCGGCCTCGGTCTGGAGCTCCGTGCAAGATCTTGCCTCATGGGGTAAGGATGATCATGAGAAAGGTGAGGGATCAGCCCAGAACTACACGGGAGGAGCTTGATAATGATCTTAAGGCAGTTGGGACCACAGTCACCAAGCAAACCATTGGTAACACACTACACCGCAATGGACTGAAATCCTGCAGCGCCCGCAAGGTCCCCCTGCTCAAGAAGGCACATGTACATCTAAATGATTCAGAGAAGGCTTGGGAGAAAGTGCTTTGGCATTAACTCGACTCGCCGTGTTTGGAGGGAGAGAAATGCTGACTTATGACCCCAAGAACACCATCCCTACAGTCAAGCACGGAGGTGGAAACATTATGCTCTGGGGCTGTTTTTCTGCTAAGGGTACAGGACGACGTCACCGCATTGAGGGGCAAATGGACGGGGCCATGTACTGTAAAATCTTGGACGAGAACCTCCTTCCCTCAGCCAGAACACTGAAGATGGGTCATGGATGGGTCTTCCAGCATGACAATGACCCGAAACATACCACCAAGGCAACAAAGCAGTGGCTCAAGAAGAAGCACATTAAGGTCATGGAGTGGCCTAGCCAGTCTCCAGACCTCAATCCTATAGAAATCTGTTGAGGGAGCTGAAAGTTCGAGTTGCCAAAGACAGCCAAGAAACCTTAAGGATTTAGTGAGGATCTGTAAAGAGGATTGGATCAAAATCCCTCCTGAGATGTGTACAAACCTGGTGACCAACTACAAAAACGTCTTACCTCTGTGCTTGCCAACAAGGGTTTCTGCACCAAGTACTAAGTCATGTTAGAAAACAATTTCTAACCTTTATATAATGTGTTTTTTCTGGATTTTTTGGTTGGTATTCTGTCTCTATACGTTAAAATAAACCTACCATAAAAATTACAGACCCTTCATTTATTTGTAAGTGGGCAAACTTACAAAATCAGCAGGGGATCAAATAAATATTTTCCCCACTGTAAGCATATAATAATTAACAACCAATATGAGCCTCATATTTCTTTAAAAAAAAAGTTAAATATTTTTAATATAAAAAATAACATTTTTATAAAAGTTTTTTAAAATAATTATTTTCTGTGAAAATGTCAGTATCATTAATGTATGTATTGCAATGAGTATATGCTAATTTTCTGCATTTACAAGCAGCATGTTCCTCTTACAAAGCAGGTTGATTTTCCAATCGGATGTGCTAGATAGCAGGTGTTCAGTTTTGTCGACTGTGAAGAAGTTTTTTCGCTTTGTTTGTGTAATCAAAACAATATGCCACCACCTCACCTATCCCACCATTTCTGCCTCACACCAGGTGTGTGTAGCGTTCGCCTTTCAAACCTAATGGCGCTGAAGCTGTAACTATGAAAATGGCAAGCCCAGCCTCAGGAGATAAATCATTAAATACTCTGTTATTGTGAAACACAATCACTTTTGAGAGCACATGGCGTGGCGGTAGAAGCTCAGCTGAAGGCCGGAGCTCAATTCTTTCAGATCTATTTTTGAATAGCGATTGAATGAACAGCTGCTAAATATTTCATAAGAGAAAAGAGACTAGGTCATGGTAAGGAAGACCAAAAAAGGGCCAATTTATTGAACTTACGGAGAGAGAGATAGATACATGAAACCATAACAGGAAAACGCAGCGAGTCCTGTCCTTGAAGGGTTGGACGGGGGCACAAACAGGGGAAGTGATTCTATCAGATCTTGTGTATCCCGTTTCTGCTGAACTGGAAATGGCTAAAGGTTGAATCGCTGCAATAATATCCATTATGTACAGTATGTAAGCCCAAAGGGCACCAATGGCATCTATACTGCTTTTGACAGAACGGTTTAGATATCTGACTCTTTATGCTCTGTACACAATTACAGTTTCCGCAGCACCAGATGTGATACCCGATGCGGCCACTGCAGCAACCGACACCGTGACTGCAACAACTGGCTTTGTTACAAGCAATCCACTTTCTGTTCTTCCTGAGGTTACTGATTCATCTGCCTCATCCTCTGGCGGCACTGCAACAACACTTAATATGGACATCCAAGCAATATCTTCTGCAACCATGGCAACAACACCTTCTGCAACCATGGCAACTTCTGAAACAACATCTTCAGCATCAGCTAGCACCATTCAACTGCCAACATCTCTTGCTGTTGATGCAGTTTCCCTTGTTTCTGATGGATCTCTAGTGGAAGTGGGTGCAATGGTTACAGCAAATACTGCAGTAACCTTAATTACAAGCACAGTTATGTCCTCAACTGATGCAGTGATGAAGACAGTTGATGCACTCCCTCCAGACATTGATTTGATTGTCCCAGCATCTGATGTTCCTCTAACTCCTGCATCTGATGGTGATGCACCTGCAACTGATGCCGTCGCAGCTGTAACAGATGCTCCAGCAACAGTTACAGTTTCTCCTGAGATTGCGTCCATTGCCCCAGCAACTTCAGACTCAGATGCTCCTGAAAGTCCAGGTGATGCAGAAGCAACCAATGTGTCTGATGAAATGAAACCTGCTCCTGAAGATCCAGGTGATGGTGCTGAAATTGTCACAGCAGGTGCGGAAACAGTCACTGATGCTGCTCCTCAACTTAATGCTGAGAGTGACAGTAAAACTCCATCTGAAGTAGGAGAGAAGAGTGAAGTTCCTCTTGTTGAGACCAAGGAAAAAACAGCGACAAATCTGGAGAAGACAGATAAAGATGCTCCTGAAAGTAAACCTCCATCTGAAGTAGGAGAGAAGAGTGAAGTTCCTCTTGCCGAGACCAATGAGGGAAAAACAGCAACAAACTTGGAGAAGAAAGATAAAGATGCTCCTGAAAGTAAACCTCAATCTAAAGTAGATGAAAACAGTGAAGTTCCTCTAGCTGAGTCCAAGGAGAAAAAAACAGCAACAAACTTGGAGAAGAAAGATAAAAATGTAAAAGCCCCAGGTACCCTAAGCAAATCTGACAATAGAATTTTCTGACAAGTATAATCCCTGCTAAAGTGCAAATGACACAATGATACACTTTTAAAGGAGCTTCAGAAGTTCATTTTGGAGGTGCAATCTGTTGAAGTTTGTGTCACACAACCCAAATTGCCTTCAGAACAGTAAGCCAGAGGCCTGCCTCTCTTAAAGGAATAGTAAATGAAAATTCTGTCATCATTTACTCACCCTTATGTCATTCCAAACCTGTATGACTTACTTTCTTCTGTGGAACACAAAACGTGTTGTTTGGCAAAATGACAGCCTCAGTCACCGTTCACTTTAATTATACGGGGAAAAATCAAACATTTTTATGGAATATTCAATATAAATAAAAGATCCTTTTGATTCCTTTTCCACTGAGGAAAGCAAGTCATATGGGATTGGAATGACAAAAGGATGAGTAAATAATGATAGATTTGTTATTTTGAGTGAACTATCCCTTTAAAACAAAACACTGAAGTTTTATACAGTATAACTACTATTCTATTATTTGAATAAACAATACTGATTCTGACAGAACGAACTGATTAAACAAATTAATTACCCAACCTTGTTAGGACCTTTGGGGGGTTTAAGCCTTAATTCGATTTTCTCGCAAGTGAACAGACCTTTGTACATTCCATGAAATAACGTTTAAAACAGTATCCTTAAATATTCAACCACTATGTCAGCATAAAACAAATCATGTATTAGATTTGAACAATGAATAAAATGAACTAAATAAAAATAAAACACTTTCAAAAACTCATGATCTCTCTGGTGTAAACAGTATCTGGTGACATTAAGAAGAAGAACGAGGCTGGGAAAACCGGAGAGAGCAGGGAAGCCAAAGAGGAAAAGAAAGAGAAGGAAAAAAAGAAAGAAAAAGATTATGAAAAGAAAGACTATGAGAAGAAAGGTATACAGCATTTGTCGTTGAGTGTGTGCACCGTGCGTAGCTACACTGTAGAAATGACACAAACAGATACTGCACTCATCCGACACAACGCTTAACTTTTTAAATGACTGCGGTCTGAAAATGCATTTCTGCTTGACTGCATTGTATCTTCCAGTAATGCTGCTGTGGATGAGATGGAGTATCTGTTAGTGAAGAACATTTACAGCTTGTAGCGTATTGATTGGTTTAGCTGCCATTAGATCCACAAGAAAGAAACTCTAAACCCTAGTTTCCTCTAGTTTTAGGCTGTTTTGTTTACAACATCAGCTTTCCTAAATAACAGTAGCATCATTCCAGTGTATCTCGTTTCACATTTTAGGCCCTTACTGTGAATTTTTCCACATTGTTGAGTGATTTGTGCCAACAGTGCAGCTGTGTTAGCCAACAAAGAGAATAACGTTGCTTTTATTCTAAAGTTGTTGCGAGGATTTTGATCCCTGGGGGGCCAAAAACACAGTTGTCAAGAATAGCGTACATCAGATTTCAAGGTAAGGCAATGCTTTAAATCAAGATAGCAAAAAGACGTTATTTTCAGAGTTTTAATGGCATTTTATGTGAATGATGTATTTATATGCATTAGCGCTCCTGTAGGCAATGCTTATCAAAGGACAATTCGGTTTTGATTTCTGTTTTTGTGAATATGGACAGACACTAATATGGAAACTGTGGAAAAATTGCTTCCTAAATGTTATTCATTTCCTCTCTTCCATGTCGCCCTTTCTTGTCTCTCTTTTCTTTGTGCTCGCATCTTTTGTTTTTTGCTTTGTCTCATAAGGTAAGCCGCTCATGATGTATTGTGTTTGCTAGAAAACAGAAGGATCTCCCCCAGGCTGTATAATCAAAAGCGTCCTCTTCTAGAAAGTAGCTACTTTGCATTTTCACTCGTCGAGTGTTAGACAGCTGTCTGCTGAAGATGCAAGATCGTTTGTGAAACATCGCTCCATCCCTTCACCAATCTGGGGAGTAATTGAGCATTTATATTTAATTAGCTGCTCTTGCCCCCCATCCCACTGCTTAGCTGACTGTGACACAGCAGGACCCCTACGTCGCCAGCATCTTTAAAACATCATATCAATTATTCAAAGCCCCAAGTGTCCAAACAGCAAAGAATTGAAAAGATCAGCTTCTAAAACACAACTTTAACAGCAGCTCATTATCTCTGTTTATCAGTGTTATAATAATGTCCTGTCCATTTAAACTGCTAATTAAGGCCTACAGGTGGGTTTATTCACTCATACTGATGACTTTCTACTGTTTAGTCAGTCTGTTTGGAGATGTCTAAGATACTGTGTTATGTAAAAGCATCCCAAAAATCTTTAAAATGTAATCATCTGAGAAAAATTTAAGCGCTAAAAAAATTCACTAAATATCTGAAAATTCAGCCATACCAACAAGCCAAATGGAATTGTCTGGTGTGTGCAGGGCAAATTAGAAGACTTTGTCCACAAAATTCTATCTATAGATAAAACATATAATATTTGTTTAATGCATAAATAAAACGATGTATAACAGTAATAGGGAACAAAATACTGTTAAACTAGGTTCTAGTTAAACTATAGGTAATAGACCCATTATAACTAATAGAACGATTAGGCTACTACTTAATTTACTTATGTGTCTTTAATTATAAATGAATTAAAATAAAATGATTTAGAATAAACAAATAATGGTAGCACTTTATTCTACAGCCCTGTTCCGCATGTACATATTATGTACTTATTAAAGCAATTACAATAACTGGGTGATAACTAGGTATTAACCCTGGACCTACCCCTAAATCTAACCTTAACCCATGTAAGTACATTAAGTGCATTCTTGGGTAAGCACACTGTAAGTACATGTAATGTAAAATAAAGTGTAAACCAAATAATTATAGTTTTACAGCAAATAGCAGTGCATAAATAAAAATGAAAAATAGGATACCATAAGGAAAGCAATCTGGGCTACAAGGATCCACAGCTGACCCTTCGTAAGCCTTGGTGGTTTACTGTTGCTGACTCGGACAAGCTTTACATACATCCCATAGGAATGAACTGGAGATTTTCATGATCAGTGTGATTTTCATAAAAAGTGCTCATAAAGTGGTAAAAATGATTGGATATTATTCATATGTGGGCTGGAATGAATCATGACACTGCAAAACATTTTTATTTTCCAAGAAGTTGTTAAGCGATACAGTAAAATAACGAAAAACTGCAAAGAGTATCAATCAAAATAGAGGCAAATGCCTGTTACAGTCAAATAAAAAAAAGAAAGAAAAGCCTTTTTTTGATAGTGATTACAAGTGATAACATTGGTGTTTCTAGAGTTTGTACAATATACTATAAAACTGTCAACATTTTGAGTTAGTCAATTAAATAACATTAATTTACTTTCAAGGCAGCAAAACGATTAGTTGCGATTAATCGATTCAAAATAAAAGTATGTTTACATACTATATGTGTGTGTACTGTGTATATTTATTATGTATATATAAATACACACATATATGTATATTATTTAAAATATATATTTGTATGTATTGTATGTATTTGTATGTAAACACTTGTATATAATTTATATTATATATAAATATTTTACATATAAATCTAACATATTTTTCCTTAATATATACATGTATGTGTGTGTATTTATATATACATAATAAATATACACAGTACACACACATTTAGTATGTAAACATAAACTTTTATTTTGAATCGATTATGATGCAACTAATCGTTTTGCAGCCCTACTTTCAAGCAACTGTGTCAGCATGTTTATTTGGGAATGAAGGCGACAGCCTGTACTTCTGTAAATATCTGTACAATTGTTTTTAAAAATAATCCCAATCCCAAAAATTCTCCATAAACTTACATTAGATAAAAGCAATAAGTGGACAGCCACAGTTGTTAAAGGGGTCATATGATGCGATTTCAAGTTTTCCTTTCTCTTTGGAGTGTTACAAGCTGATTGTGCATAGATAAGATCCCTGAAGTTGCAAAGACTAAAGTCTCAAAACCAAAGAGATATTCATTTGTCAGTAATGTTTTTGAGGCTGGACTGGAAATCAACTGGCTAATATGGTCTGTAATCTAATTCACATAATTTTTTTTAGGTAGTGTTAAATGCCTGCCAGCTTTTCCAGCTGGCTAAATAGTCTTAGCCTAGTTTATAGTCTTCTTAGCGTCTACATGTCATGCCCATGTCCTCTCATCCACGAGTTTCCTGTGTCTTTTCCCCTTCCAGTCCCTCGTTCCCTGTTCCACAGACTAACACCTATCTACTCTTTCTCCATCAGACTGCGAGTGCAACGGTCACTCAAATCGCTGCAGTTACATTGATTTCATCAACATTGTGACTTGTGTGAGCTGCAAACACAACACTAGAGGGCAGAACTGTCAGCACTGCCGCCTCGGATACTTCCGGAATGCTTCCGCTGAGCTGGATGATGAGAATGTTTGCATAGGTCAGTCAGATATCACTCCACACCAATCCGTTTCACTATTCCCCTGACGCACCCACACCATGCCACTCAGAAATTGTCCTTTCTGGCCAAATTATATGTATGGAATTGGAAAGGTCAAGAAATCTTTCCTCATTTGCATACTGTCCAACATTTGGTCTGCCACCACCTTGCCATACATGTGACAATTTCTGACATACTGAAGTCCAACAGAAGTATGGATTTAAATATACTAATATCATGCATCATTCATTTTAGAGACTCACAAGAAATCTTCTCCCAGACTCCCGTCTTCTTTTACTTAAGATCTAGGAAACTGAACAACTTGCATTTTTAACTGTCCAGGTTAAAACTATCAATATCTGTATTGATATGAGAGTAGCACAAAGGAAATGTGATTCGAAAAAAAAAGTAATTTTGTACTCTTTTGTGCATGATCTTATAGTCAACATGAAATGCCACATGCAACCCATTTTACTTCCTTAATGTAATACTTCAAAGTATAATACCGGATATTTAACAAGAAAAAAACAAAACATAAAAAGCACAGTTGGATGGGATTTGATTTTATCTGTAATAATTGACTGAATTTTAAAAAGTGGACAGTACATGGTAAAACTGAAAAGAGAGATTTGTGATTTTTACATTACAGGCGTTTTGACATTTTGATAAAAGATTATGAAGACAAAATATTTTCTTTGGAATAAAATGAATCATTCACTATAAGACAAGGAATGTGTATTAAAAAGTAAATAGAATGAATTTCGATTTCATGTTGACTTTAAAATGGGGGACAGAAGAAATACAATCAGAAGGCGTAAGATTAATATATTTTTTTCTTTTTGATGAAAACTGCTCCAAAAGCTGTTCAAGCAATCTGTCACAACACTTTGTCAATGATACAGTGACCTCTACTGGAAAAATACACACACATAAATCACTGCGCTATGACTGACAGCTGCCCAGATGGACAAATTATGCCCTTGTGAATGCATAGAGCAAACCCTGCTTACATGACTGATGAACAACCACTGATCACATAAATAATCAGAAGGCGTAAGATTAATATATTTTTTTCTTTTTGATGAAAACTGCTTCAAAAGCTGTTCAAGCAATCTGTCACAACACTTTGTCAATGATACAGTGACCTCTACTGGAAAAATACACACATAAATCACTGCGCTATGACTGACAGCTGCCCAGATGGACAAATTATGCCCTTGTGAATGCATAGAGCAAACCCTGCTTACATGACTGATGAACAACCACTGATCACATAAAACTGAGAACTCGCAAACATAGAAGTGAATTTCTCCTGCTAACACATGTGAATATATGCCTATTGCCTTCAGGCTATGCTACATTGCCTTTAGGCAAAATGCTGTAACTTTTGAAACACTGTACATAATTTTTTTTTATAAACATTCATTTTCCTGGAGGTCCACTAATACTGTTATTTATGACTATTTACCACATATTTTTGTGACCCTCAGAATTCTACAGGTCATTTTTGCTGCTGTGCCATTAAGACTTTTATGTAAACTATGCTATGTGGCACTGTTCTGCACGATTACTTAAAGGAATAGTTCACCCAAAAATGAAAATTTGCAAAAAATTTACTAACCCTCAGGCCAACCAGGATATAGAAAAGTTTGTTTCTTCATTGGAACAAATTTGATAAATATAGCATTACATCCCTTGCTCACTAATGGATCATCTGCAGTGAATGGGTGCCGTCAGAATGAGAGTCCAAACAGCTGATAAAAACATCACAATAATCCACAAGTAACTGACACAACTCCAATCCATCAATCATTAAGGCATTTTAACTTCAAAATGTTGCTTCCAGCTAAAATACAAGCCCCTCTATCAATACTATTGCTTTCTCCAGTCAACTTGTCTGAATCAGGTGAGAAATATGCACAGATCAACCATAGTTTACAAGCAAAAACAGTCCAAAAGATGTCTAAAGAAATGTGCTGGTTGATGTTGATGTGAGAGGACAACAGGGCATGGACTTTTTGTACTGGTGGAGCACTGGTGAGCAAGTGATATAATGCTGAATTTCTCCAAATCTGTTCACACGAAGAAACAAACTCATCTACATCTTGGATTGCCTGAGGGTGAGTACTTTTTAAGCTAATTTAAATTTTTGAGTGAACTATTTCTTTAAGAGCTGCAGGTTTGCTGTCGAGTCCAACACAGTCTTACTGCCCCATTAGGAACATAGTTAAATATAGTTTCTAACTATAGCCTTCAATATGCAAAGCATTAATATTGGTAGCATGAAACAAGCTATTTTCAAGTTTTACATTCTGAAAGTTACAGTGTTTTCATAGTTCAATGAAATCTATCACAAAATAAAGAGAACATAGCCGCCTTCTCAAGGTTTCAGCACAAATAATCTACAATTGCTGAATAACGTATATATTTTCTATACACAGAGTGTAACTGTAATCAGCTGGGCTCCTTTCACGCCCGGTGCAATGACACAGGCTTCTGCCAGTGTCGAGAGGGCAGCACGGGCCAGAAGTGTGAGGACTGCCTGCCTGGATATACCTGGAAGCAAGGCTGCATGCGTAAGTCACACTTCCTTCACAAAGGCATTAAACACAGGCTTAGTCATTAAAGACACATTATGTGATGGATGATACCACTCATACAACAAATAAAGTGCTGTGAACGAACAACATATGGGTGTCATTTCACTCAAACATATGAGCAACATTGTTGTTACTCACAGAGGTCTTTGCTGTTGTACTACCAATAACAACCTGCTGTTTGCAGCAGTTGTGCATTATAGATACTTGTGGGTGGGGTGATACAGTGGCTAAAGCAGTGAGGCAGGGTAAGAAGAAGGCTGATGGTTCAAACCTAGCAAAGAATTGGTTGTATAATGAAACACTGTCAGCCAAGGACTAGAAAGCAGCCCAAAACCTACACCAGCTTATCACAACTCACCACTACCGAAATTACTGTTTACAGATATACACTTGATTGTGACAGCTCCCAGTTCTTCAGGCACTCAGGAAAACGTTTTTTTTTTTTTTTAGATTAACACTTTATACTAAATTATCTGAAAATAATGTGTATATGGGATTCTAACGCCCAGTCTCCAAAAGACTGGTGGAGGTCTGTAGATTTCCATCATTATTGCTGGATCACAAATTATAATCGTTCACAGGTCATCATTATCGTCTCTGCTCTAATTAGACCTGGTTTTCATGCAGGCATTGCATAAACCTTGAAATAATAAATGACCAGATTTTTTGCCTGCTGCTTTTTAAATTCTAACTCAATTTACTGTGAGGTGCGGTTTCATTCATTCATTTCTAATAATAAACTAATTATAATGAAATATTTAATGGGATTTTATACACTGATTATTATTATCTATTATTTATTTTCTAATATAAAATTCAGATTTTTTGATATTCAGATTTTTTTATTAATACTTTTATTCAGCAATGGGTAACACTTCCTTGTTACACGTTACATGTACTTTCTATTATAATAACAATAAATTATGCATAATTACATGCAAGTAACCCTAGGCCAAACCCTAATCCTAACCATACAGTAAGTACATATAGTTAATTAATATTACTCAGTACTTAAATGTATAATTACACTGTAACAAGGAAACCTTAAAATAAAGTATAACCCAGCAATGCATTAAACTGATGTAAAAGATTTTCACATTACTACAAAAAAAAAAAAAAGACAATTTCTAATAAATGCTGTTCTTTTGAGCTTTCGTTACATCAAAGAATCCTGGAAAAGAAATGTATCACAGTTTCAACAAAAATATTAAGCAGCACAACTGTTTTCAGTATTAATAATAAAGAGAAATCTTGTTTAGCAAATCATATTAGAATGATTTCTGAAGGATCATGTGACACTGAACAAATTATACTTAAAGTTTATTTTAAATTTTAATAATTTTTTGAACAAATAAATGCTTGGTGAGCATAAAAGACTTCTTTCAAAAATATTTGTAAAATCTTACCAACCTTAAACGTTTGAACAGCGGTGTACATATATTAGTTTACAGACAGCTGGCCCACAAGTTCACCAAAAAAACAAAAACAAAGCAAACATAGATAACCTTTGGTCCCTCTCACTGAAAATGAATCCTTTCCAGTTAACTGCCAATGTGAACACCTTAAATCACTCCGAGTAAAAGATATCAGCTAAATGAATACTGACGTTTAGGATGAAAAAATGTAACCTAACTTTAAGACAACAGAACAATCCCTTAAAACATGATCTATCTGCAGATCTGTGAGTAGTGTTACAAGGGCACCTGACAAATGATTACTTAGATCATCTTTATGTTTAGAGACATGTAACATCATTAATGAGAATCTCCCCTCTGTCCTTCCCAGCAAACGTGTGCGACGACGAGCTCCTCCTGTGTCAGAACGGCGGCTCCTGCATCCAGAACCAGAAGTGCGTGTGTCCGCCCAGCTTTAGGGGCGTTTTGTGCGAGCAGCCACGCTGCCAGGGCGAGAAAGGGTGCGACGGCGCATCGGCCTGCTACCTCAGCACACTGACGCTGCTGCTCTGCCTTCTAGCCAACAGCCTGCTTAAAGCCAGCGCCTAGAAACCCATCTTAGTCCTGATATCGATCCTAGTCTACGCAGGCCAAAGGGCTGAACCCTGCAGACGGACAGAGAGTGGCCTGAACCCGTACGGACCCAGCCTCACGGTGCTGAAATCTTTTTTGGAAATGGCGGCGGCTGCGCTGAGGTCAAACGACATCTTCATGAGACGAGCAGTTTATTGCTCGTCTACTAGCATCACTGATCGCCTGAACTTTATACCAAAAACAGAATAAAAACAACTTAAGTTCAGTTTCAGCTCACTCTACACAAAACTCTATAGAAAGTGGAGAAATATATAGATGCGGTTTCATTTCCTTTGCATTTCTACTTTCTCTGTAGTTTCGGCGCTCACCGAGGTACAAGCACTGCACTTAGCCAGCTTGTTTTAACGAACAACAAACGGTCGATATCACGGAAGCCTACTTATGCCAAGTTATTCTTCTTCTCTTGAAGACTTGTTTTTACATTTCCTTTCATTGCTGCATTTTTCTCGCATTTTATTGCCATTGAGGTTGTAACAAGTAGATGAAACCGATGGAAAAGATGTTTAATCGCCGAATGAATGTCTCTATAGCTTGTGTTTGAGATTATGTTTATGGAATGTAGAAAGAGGTTTTAAATTGTCACACTGAACAAATATACATATATCAGTCTACCTGAAAGGAAATATGAAGTATTGTATATTATGATTATTATTATTTCAATATTTTTTGTAGAAATTGTTATTTTTGTTGAGTAAATGTTACCATTGTAAAGACATTGCAGCATTTATTGCAGTGCATATGGTATTCACACCATGGTAAAACTATATTTGATGATACATCAGAGTGCATCTCTAATATATTTGGAATATTTCTCCATTCATACCATTAAATAAAGCATAAACGGTTCATTACATGCACAGCTTTAGCTCAATGTAACCTGCACATCATCTTGTTACTGGCATGCATTCATCAGTGCAGATATGACCATTCAGGACTGCTTATTAACACAGGATGATAAGTACATTCCTAAAGCACAAAGTCCCACAAACCCCAAATAAATACTAGATAATTATGAAGCACAGAAAGAAAAAAAAAATGCATCGCCAAGCAACACAATTAGAATGGCCATTCAGATTAACAATTAAAAATTCAGCACACTGTATATCATGCAATCAGGTTATTTTTCAAATAATTTTATTTTCCTTGCGCGAGTCTCAAAGAAATGCCAAAATCTTTAGCGGCTCATGGGCTTTTTGATGTATTTCATATTTACAAATGCTTTACATTCATGATGAGCCAGGGTAAATAAAATACTATCAATAAATATTATAAATGAATAAAACCTGACAATCAGAAAGCACAAAGAGACGTGAGTGAATTGTCTTTCTTTAGACTCTGTCCTTCTATATGCAAATTAAAGTTTTAACAGCATATATATTTAGTGTCTGATGCAGCATACACCGACATAACAGTCACAACAGCTAATAAGGGTAATTAATATCAGCCCATTTTTATTCCTTAGAAAGTTTCACAAGGTGAATCAGCTGTATATATGTCTACAGACCCAGAATCAAATGTGCTGAGCCGTTTGCATTGCTCTAACCATCTGCACTGAAATAAATTAATAAATCCTTACCACACAACTTGAGTCAGCAGAGCTTATGCAAGGTGGAGACTTTTGCTTTCTGGAAACTAATAAATAAGGCTCTATCCAAGCGTGAGTTAAATACAAACTACTCACAGAAATAGATTGCATGCTGTATAACATACAACGTATTATGCAATTAGCACTGGAAATTCCAGTTGGGGTTATTGCACATGTAGTGGGCTCATTTATGTTTAAGTTCCATAACCTTGTAATTTATGAAAGCATTTTTAGACCTACTTTAGGCTATATAGCAGACTTTCAGAAATATGCTCTGATCAGAAAAAACTAACATGATGGAAATAAAGAGCTAAAGTTATCCATTGCCTAGTGAGGGATTGACAGTTTGCTTACATGAAGTTGTCAATTTGAAGTTAATTTTGAAATATTTTAAAGCATAATTTGTAGTGTTGATATTTATAGATTATTATCAATCAGCATGGAATGTTTTAAAGTGATAATATATTTTTAAAAAATCACAACATTCATCAAATCTGTTGCTAATACTTAGCAATGATTGAGCTGTTTTTCATATTGTCACTTCCTAGAAGTTCCTAGAAGTGGAAGGAACGAGCTTTTGGTAGTTAAAGGGATTGATTTTAAATTAAAACCCAGAACAGAATTAGCATTTGAGTCATAGGTTCCCAATTTTTTTCTTATGGGAAGTAATACCTCATATATGAATTTAAAAGCTGCTGTGCTTTTAAAACATTTAAATTGTGGTCCGCCATCAATTATTATGATTCATTGAAACTAACACCATAAAAATTTAAATAAATAATGTTAACAAAACAGGTTATTTCAGCTTGTTTAAATTTAATATCTAGCTTAACTATTGAGTATGTATAAAAACTATATAAACCAATGAAAGGTCTAAAACTTTAAAATAAAATAAAACAGAAAATAAAAGGTAAACGCTCAAAACATTAAAAGCTAAAAATTCTACATTTTAATAAACTACAATAGAATACTAGGATAACACATAACAATAACAGGATTGAAAGTGATTTTGAGGACACAGGAAACCCCATTTAAATATTTAACAGTGAATTAATGTAAACTATTTCTGATAGAAACCCTTGCTGGACCTGTTTTGTCCCACGTCTCAAGAATAAACAAACCTTACATATTACGTGACATTTGTGCTCTTAATTCAGTCCAAACTGCTCCATTCAAACTGTATGTATTACCTGTTTTAGGTGTATAATCTAGTTCAGTTGTTGTAGGCAAAGAAATTCGAGATTAAATTTAAACTCGTAAATCTTCCGTTGCTAAATCCTTCATCGATGGCGTTCAAAATGCAACCAAGTTCGTCGACGTCATCGTCTGTTTGCATACTGCATTTCGATTGGTCTTTTTTCTTACATTAACCTTCATGATGAATTGTGATTGGTCTCGTCTTGCTTGCATATTATTTAACCATTTATTTGTCCCTTTTACTTATGAGGCTGACGTGAAATCAGCAAGAGGCTGTTTTGTTTGCATATTATTTAATATTAAAAAGGCTGACATCCCTGAATTCAAACTTAAATAAATAAATAAATGTACAACTTGTGCACAGTTCTGTCAAAACCATCTGATACAGTATATCACGAATATTATTTTAATATTTCAGGTCTTTGTATGCATATATAATGCATATATATACTATTTTTCTACCTTCAAGCACTGCTATTTATTTATTTTTTATTTAGAAAATTCAAATCTAGATTGTCATTATGATTCAGTTGTTTGTATAAACATCATAAATGCTATAAACTGGATCAATATCCTATATCTAATCAATATACATCTGCCTTAAAAAATCAATTACAAAAAATATGTGCACATCCACTTGAAAAGCACTAGATGGCACTATGGTCTCAAACAACACTGTTACATTTGAAAAGAGACTGTGATTTTACCATTATGAAGAGGTCAAGGTTTTGGTTGGCATGGTCCAGTTAGCTATAATTACACAAAAACATTTTTCTCCATTGATTTACATTCAAAAGTAGCAGTGTATTTTTTTATAAAATATAAGGTTTTGCTTTAAATACATCCCAAATATTTTATTTTATTATACCACAGCTGATGTTTTAAAGAAAGACGTTAGTGATGACACTCATGGACAAATACTTTGCTTTTATTTTGAATGGCACTCACTGAAGTGCACCCATCTTGACAATGGCATTCTACATGGATATATACATTCTGTCCATAGCATTTACTTAACTTTACACAAGTGAAACAATATATCTTTTTCTCAACAACAGTAATTTTTCTCGGACTGTACAGTAAACTAACAAATAAAGTAAGAACCTTGAAATAGCTAAATAAAACTTTAATAATTCTAGAGGCAATTGTACATGAATTGCACTGAACATTTTCTTCAACACAAATGAATTCTCATATATTGGTATGTCTTCTGATCATGTATGTACATGTGGCAAAACTGTTAGCGTAGCTCTGAAACATACATACAAAAGATGTAGAGGTAAAGCAGAAAACACTGTGGAGATTTTACATGGTTTTTGATATATAATCATGCCAAACAGGAAAAAGCAGTCTTCCTTTAAATTAAGTGACACTAAACAGCAGCCCTTTGACTTTCACATAACGTATTAAAGGGATAGTTCACCCAAAAATGAAAATTTGATGTTTCTCTGCTTACCCATTAAAAAAAAAAAGTAAGTGTTTTAATGTGCCATACTATTGCCTTCAAAAGTTTGTTACAGGAAGTCCAGACATGTTTTGTTTGCTTGTTTTCAATTTCTCTGTATTAAAACAGGCAAGTATAAAGATGTGGTCACATTATCGGAATTTCTGCAAAAGTTCACAGGCAAAAAACTTCCTTTGTTTATTCTGAATAATGTAGTGACACATGAAGCCTAACTCACACAGAAGTCACTTTCAAACCAAGCAGCTTTCTGTTGGTCAGCGTTGGCGAATTCACGTGATCAGCATGAACCCATTGCAAACTGGGAAATTTATCGCCCACACATGAAATTACTGATTGCTTTTGTAATGATTGGATTTTGCCTGTGAAAATTTGCCTAACAGTGGTTAATGAGACCTCACCTTAAGTCTTAAAAGTAAAGTATGTAATTTCTGCATCACTAGCCTAACCAACTGCAACTGCAAAAACAATGAATGTTTTCAGACAGGTTTCTCGAACTCAATTGTTTGAATAAACAGACAGTTCTTTCTTCAACCTCACACCAGTGGTATTGTAACATCCCCCCAAAAAAATTCAATTTTAAAGAAATGTAAAGTCACCATGAAACCAAAATTGGTCAATTCTTATTTTTTTTATGGAATATTGCAGTGTTTACTATAAATGATTCATTATTATTATTATTTTTTTTCAATTCATGCATCCTCATGTGCTCTCCCCTTGCAACGACATCTCTTCTCAGATGTGATCACAGCAATTAGCAAACAATCCAACAATCCACTCAATTCCCCACCAACAAAATCAAGTCCAGTCCTACATTTTTTCTCGTTCAAGAAGCCATTTCACCCGGATATACATCACAATTCATAGTTTTCAGTCACGTGACTGGCTCGAAGACCTGGAGGGCAAAATATCCATGGAACTGCAGCACAAGCCTGTCAATTTTCCATCCATTTCCAAGCCACAAATATTTAGATCACCTCTCAAAAGAATAAATCAAAGACATGTGGGGGAAAAAAATGCAAGTTTTGGCCATTTGCCGCAATATTTCGATCACTAAAAACATTGGGACATTCAAAAATGTTTAATGTGAAAAACACTTAAAGTACCTTAATGTATTAAAAGAGTGATATGAAAATATCAAAAACAGTATACACCTTATTGATGATACTGTTCATACTTTGTTTAGGCAAGCAGATGATCCCATTCTGGGTTCATCTGCATGCCTGTACAACGTATGCATCATTAATAAGGTGTATACTGAATTTGGCCTCAATAATATAGTAATAGTGTCTATATTACTACTTAATACAAGCCTCATAACAATAACTTGCGGTCAGTGGCGGAAAGGTGTGTTTTGCCCTCCAGATGGGCGTTCCTGTAGGGGAGTGACGTCACGTCAAAACTAGGAATAGGGAAAAGATGAGCTCAACTTCTGTTCTGTTCACACTCAGCATTCAAACTTCAACAAGTACTCTTAATTTTGGGGTTAAAACAACAAATGTAGCTGAATAAATAAATTAACTAAACATAATTTAAAACATAAATTCAAAAAATCAATTCCAAAAAACAGTTAAACAGAGCATACTTTCTCTCGAGCTTGTATGATAAATAAAAACAAAAAATATAGCGAAAACAGAGAGAATATTTAAAAAATGGAGATGTCTGATATGACGTTTATACACAAAGTGGTTTGCCCTTGCAGTTTTTCCAAAATTATTGTCCCAAATAAACCAATGTGAATATTTATACATAAAGAAACACTGACAGTCTTCAAACTCTTCTCCACTAACCTGATTTGAATAAAGTTCAGTGAAGCTAAAACAGGTTCGCCTGATACCGGAGCAAAGGGTCTGTCAGCAGCAGGGTTGATGCAACTATTGCCGTGCTACTCGTTTGATGCAAACTGCATCTGAAGAGCAGAAAACATCACAACCTTTAAGTAAAAAACCAGCCACGTACCCTTCACACATCAACTCAAGTGCTGAATGCTATATGCTTTGTACTTGCTGCTCTGAATAGCCTTTATAACAAGTCCACAGAAGCAGGTTTTGGTTAAAGGGTCCATTCTAATGCTA